TAATATAATTTCTCTATAATATATATATTCGACTATAAAAAAATATAATATAATATAATATAATATAATATAATATAATATAATATAATATAATATAATATAATATAATATAATATAATATAATACACATAATTATAATATAATATAATATAATACACATAATTATAATATATAATAATATATAAAAATGTATTTCTTTTTTTAGTAGTCTCAATACATTGAAAATAGTGTAATTGAATTCTAAAATTATGCTAATGGCACCATTTCTCTGCATAGTAAATTCTCCAATCCTTTCTCTCATCAATAAAGAAATTTGTTCAACAAATTTTCCTCATTCTGAGAAACAACGAACGTCGTCGTTCAGTAACGCAGCATTATTTCATGACCGAATTTACAGTGAAGACAATTCAGAGTTAAACAAAAATTCGCGGTAACTCGATCATTTATCTCGCTCGTCTTTTTAACATATTTCTCACATTTCAACAGACACGAGCTTCTTAATCTTAATTTCTCACCCACTCACACACACGTCCCAACAAAAATGCTTAAAAATTCGAACGAACACGTGCCTGTCATTTTTTCACGAAAGAATAATAAAATAGCTGCTCTCGGTGCTTCGCGAAGCTAGGATCGACCCTCGCGTTCCGTCAACGGTGTCTCTAGAGACCACCCCATTTTATCGACAGTGACGAAGCTGCGCGTGTGTTAGTATCGGACCACGAGGTGAGGGTCTCGAGCTCCGCAAGCATGCATTGGTGAAACGTGGGTGCGGGTCGCGAAAGACCCCGGGTGACCGAAGGTTAAATAGAGAGTCAGATGACACGGTCCATGGGGTAGCTCCTCATGTTCCGGTACAAAAAAGAAAAGACCATAATTCACAGCTCTCGACAGCCGGGTAGAAGCAGCAAAAATGCGGCTCTAATGGTCGGCTCTGACGGAACGACGTTCTGTTTCAGGCAACGAGATGAATTACAAGGGCAGCGGGAAGGTCCACTTCGGAGTGGACGACGTGTCCCTCTATGGGACGCCGAAGGAGGAGCCTGGTCCGGGTCTCCCGGGCCAGGAAGTCAAGCAGAGCTTCTTGAAGAATCAGCTCCAGGCTCTGTTCCAGCCGACGGACAACAAGCTGGCCATGAAGCTTTTCGGCAGCAAGAAGGCGCTGATGAAGGAACGGATCAGGCAAAAGGCTGCAGGTCACTGGGTCATCCATCCTTGCTCCAGTTTCCGGTGAGTTTTCTCCGCAGAGTCTATCAAAAACGATTCTGCCTTCGCAGGCAACCGTGTCCGCGCCATGGATTCGAAGGCAACCGTCGAAGCCTCGTGTCTCCGAGACGATTCTAACTTCGTCGTTAGATCCGAGGACTGTCTTTTTACGGGGAAAGTTGGCCAGAGTCGTAGCTATAGTTCTCGCAGCTACGCCGGCTGATCCAATAGCGATCCCTCAAACGGTGAAAATCCAGCCTTGGGACTCGAAATACAATGCCGAAACTTTGATAGCAGTTCGCGGCTACCAAGGACAGGATTAGCTGCGTGTTCCGCTCCGCGAAACAACAAAGGGACGTGTACCTGTTACGCCCTACATTCGGGAGGTTCCTTGGGTGATGGCTTTTTTGCCGATCGTTGCGATTGGAGGGTCGAGTTTTTCGCGAGGAAGCGTAGAGAATTGATTTTTCTAGATTTTAGACTAGTTTTTAGTCTGTTTAGATCCCTCGAAGCACTTTGATTTGAAGGGAACGTTGGATAATGTGGGAGCTCGATTGTAAGAGCGTTTGATATTTGAACTTTTTATTGCGCGAATAGGTTGTGCACGTAGATGAATCGATCTAAGAGGGTCTACATAAGCATAAACGATCTATGTGAACATAAGCAAACGATTTACCCTCATCGAACTCGGAATAATATCATATACCTAAGTACATTTTCGGATTTCTCTCAGTTTCTGCTGTTATTTTCTGAAGAAAAAAATATAGCCTTTTATTTAAGAAAATTATATTGACCTTCGGATCTCCTGTATTATTACTCTCACGAGAATACAATTAATACTACATGATGTGACTCGTTGTACCAGATAATTTTTGTAGCAACATTTTATTTATAATTGTAACTCCTTCCGAGATAATCCTACTGTACTCTTTTAAAGGAGACAAGCATGGGTTCCGCATGCTTTTAGGTGACAACAATAAAAATTAGCGAGCTTGATTGGACGAATTTTTCCGAGTCGAAATCGGGTGATTTTTGTCAACGAGGTATTGAAAATCTTGTTGATCGTTGGAAAGAAGTTGTGAACAGGGAAAATACGTTATCGATTAATTAGTCGGTTAATTTGTACTGAAAAATTTACTTTTAGAAAATTGATCGAAGCAGAGTGGTTGATTAAAAAAGCGAAACGAAGGAGGCGTCGAAAATGCTCATTTCTCTCAATTCGATATTCCATTTGAGCGATCTGAAAATCAGCATAAATTAACTCGAACAAAAAAAACAAAAAAAGAACATAGATTCCGGTAGAACAAAACATCCTCTTTCGAATGATTGCGACACGCGAAATATTAAAATTTAGAAAAATAGCGGTAACTTAGTTGCCAACTCAATAGCACCGGCAGAAGTTCCCGCAGGAACTCGTTAATCGTTAATTTGTACTGAAAAATTAACTTTCAAAAAATTGCTCAAACCAGAATGATTGATTAAAAAAGCGAAACGAAGGAAGCATCGAAAATGCTCATTGCTCTCAACTCGATATTCCATTTGAACGATCCAAAAATCAACATAAATTAACCCGAACAAAAAAAAACAAAAAAGAACATAAATTCCGGTAGAACAAAACATCCTCTTCCGAATGATTGCGACACGCGGAATATTAAAATTAAAACAAAAACAGCAGGAACCTAGTTTCCAACCCAATACTACCGGCAAAAGTTCCCGCGGGATGACCGATTCGAGAGCAAACGAACAGGGAACACGGGAGACCCTGTACACCTTTATAGGAAGTTGATGTGTCGCACGGTCGAAGGGGAGAGCTGATTGTTTCTGGCTGCGACCAGTTTGCTTTGAATTGGGATAGGCCGTTCAGAGAGTGTCCTCCAGCAATCAGTCGATCCGTACACAAAGTATTCCAGAGGCCAGTGCTGTAGACACCGATTCAAAGTCCAATGGTCAAAGTAAGAGTCCTAACGCCGCCGTCGACGTAAAGACGAGGCATGAGGGGGGAGACCAGAGGGGGGGACATCGGCCGGATTATCGAAAGGGTGACGGAGGGAGGGGTACGAACGAAGGAAGGGGGGCCGATCGCTAACGAGCAATGGAATTTTCGGGAGGCTCGACGCGCGGGAACGCGGGCCACTCCTATCTCTCCTAATTACCAATTAAAACGTCTAATTAAAGCGCCTCGCCGCGAGTGGAGACCTCCGAATCGAACGAATTGTTACGTTGGTGTGTGTGTGTATGCAAGAGAGAGAGAGAGAGAGAGAGAGCGTGTTTCTTCGCGATTGCGCGGTGATCGGCTTTGACCCAGTTCGCAATCTTCGCCGGCGAAAACAATCGATGATAAATCCGGGGCTGCGTCGACACCGAGCACCCCGTGCCCGTAAACACGCTTCCGGCGTGTCCTGGAGAATATGCATTCGCAGCTCGCTGACAAATGGAGCGGGCGAAACGAGTTTCTAACGACGCGACGACGCTTTTAAATCGTCCCTTCGATTGGCACCGCTTTCGAGCGCGGTAAATCCTGCGCGGGATTCCGTGAATGTCCGAGAAGTTCCCGGGCATTGATGCATCGGCTTGCTTTCCCGTTCGATCGCACGCTGATACCGTGCACTTTGAATTCTTCGCGGAGCCGATAGACCGGCGTTTTCGCTGGATCGGGGGCGACTCGCGCGAGGAATTGATCATATTAAGGGAGCTAATCCGAGCGGGTCGTTTGGAAACGATTTTCGGAGCGCGCCGCAACACCGAGGCGCCCACACGTGCATGGCTGTTCCGGGCAAAAATCATAACTTCGGGGCTAATCGATTTTCGAACGAAATGCCTTCGCGATTTGTCGAAGGAAATACAAAAATTATATGATTTTATAGAAGGAAATTGTTGCCGCAATTTTATTTCTTATTGAATACAAATTTTTATATATATATGCGGACTTTTATACAAACTTTTATTCATCAATACAATTTATTGTTGGTCGAATACTGAATAAATTTTGTCCGGGAGATTTGTTCATTAATTTCGCCTTAGTGCCTGAAAAGTGTCGAATCTCAACACACATTTTTCTGTGATAACTATTACCGAATATATCAATTTCTTGTTAAAATTGAGACGTCTGTTACAAAGATGAATGCACTTTTTTAAACTTTAAAATCTTTATATAAAATTCTAATTTTCGGAAGTCGTTCGATAAAAAGAGTTTAGAATTAAGAGACATTTCTTTCGTTCGTTAGAAGATTGTTGTTGCTAAACAGAAAAATAGCGATATCATTATCATATATAGAAAGAATAACACGAAAAACCCGTGAAATGTATAATAACACTATAACAGAAGAAAAATAAGAATATCAATGTTTATCAATATTTATAAACATTTATTTAACGCACGTGTTTCTCTGCATTTTATAAATTTGCCCCGGAAAGCGCGGATTCCTCATTTCAGCCTGGAAAAAATTGTTGGAAACCTGTTTCAACGAAACTTCAAAGGGCTTCTCATCCTGAAAGTAGTTTTCTGTGATGTCCTCCGACCACCCTTGCATTAACGCTGGAACGTGGAACCTGCTTGACAAAAATTTCATTCGATTTTCATTAAAATATAAATTTGCTGCGTCCATTGCAAGAAACATAAATCCGATGAAAATGTTTTCCTTAGTTTAATCATTGCAACGAGTCGAAAATAATGCAATGATGTCTTTAAATTCTAACAATCTCTTTACAGTATTGTATTTGACTTATTCATTTTTGTCGTAAGCGTATAAAATCCACAGTGAAACAATAGTGTAACAAAATAAAATAGAACTTGATTCACGAAAGGGTGAACTTTCGATTTTCACAAAGATAAAAATTTAATTTTTACAGAAGTGAATTCGATTCGCTAAGGAGCGACTCTAATTCGGAAATAGATGAATTTGATTTGAAAATAGGTTGAATATAATTTACGGAAGGATGACTTTCGAGTGCAAAATGTGCAAATCGGAGGTCAGATTACACCAGAAATTATAAATGATCGCTGCACAATCACTCCGTTTTAACCATTTAACTGTAATTGACGTGTTCACTCGTCAAGAAGAAATGGCGACATTTCGCGCGACGACGAGTATACTCGTCAAGAAGAAATGGCGACATTTTGCGCGACGACGAGTATACTCGTCACGAAGAAATGGCAACATTTTGCCTGACGACGAGTATTCTCGTCACGAAGAAATTACGACATTTGGCCCAACGACGAGTATACTCGTCACGAAGCAATGGCGACATTTCGCCCTATGACGAGTATACTCGCCAAGATTAAATTGCAATATTTCGCCTGACGACGAGTAGACTTGTCACAAAGAAATGGCAACGTTTCGCCCTATGACGAGTATACTCGTCAAGATTAAATTGCAATATTTCGCCTGGCGACGAGTATACTCGTCACGAAGCAATGGCGACATTTCGCCCGCTGACGAATATACTCGTCACGAAGAAATGGCAACGTTTCGCCCTATGACGAGTATACTCGTCACAAAGAAATGGCAACGTTTCGCCCTCCGACGAGAATACTCGTCAAGATTAAATTGCAACATTTCGCCCGCCGACGAGTATACTCGTCAAAACCATAGTACACTCAGCTAACCGGTTTCGAAGATCCTGGCTTCGTCGTTCCCTGTTCGAGGTTCGAGGAACCGTGTAAAAGTGGGTCGTCCAATCTAAAGAAAAAAAAAAGAATGCCCGCGGTCCTTGTAATATCCTTGCGTGTCAGTCCCGCTGGAAAGAATTATGGACACTTTAGGGACCCGTGTGGCCTTTGTCTTCCGCGACAGCATAAAGCACTTTCTCGTATCGGGGTCGAATTCCTTGGCCAGCCCGGTCCCAACGACTGGAATGCATCTCTCCGCGGCGACATATCTCGCGGAAAGACTGGAACGAAGAACGTGTTCGTCCTGCGGGACGCCGGATAACGCGTTCCTTCGGGTTCGATCGATCGATTCCGGTCGTTGGCACGGCGATGTTCCACTTTCGGATAAATATCCACCGAAGAACTGCCGACGCTC